CAAGCAAGATAGATGCAGCATAGGCTCTGGCTCCAACAGCAGCATTTCTCTTCTCTTCCCTACCCAACCGCTTTCCCCAGCTTCCCTGTCCCCAATCCCCTCCACTCTCCCTGGACCCAAGCCCATACCCCCTTCTCTTTGAGTTAGGCAAGTTACTTGAAGTTCCTGGGCTTTACTGACCTCATCTGTAACATGGAAAAAGTGATCCTTGTGCTTCTGCCCCAGAGGAACTGAGAGAGGACTAGCATGAATTTTGGGCATGTTTTATATTATACATAACACAAATACTCAAGCATGATGGATGGACGGATTCAAAAATATCCTCATGGATTGTGATCTCCCAAAATTTTTGAGATACTACATGGTGATTAAAATGACAAACTTTGCCACCAGAGATACATGGGTTCAGATTACAGCTTTTGCTGTGTGACCTTAGGTAAGTCATTCACCCTCTCAGAGCCTTAGTGTCTTTATTAGTGAAAAGGATGTTAACGAAACCCATCTCACAGGGCTGCCATATGGAAAAGGGAGGTTGTTTGTGTAAAAAGCTTAACGCTATCTCAGCCTATGATAAATGTGAACTATAATAATAATAAATGTGGTCTCTGCTATTTGACTCTCAGGGCACTGAGTGTGAGGAGGGTACCTGGGATAACAACTCCCATAATGACAAAGGGTGGTCCCTTCAGAGGTCATCTCCCCCTTAGGGCATGGAATAACAATAACTTGTATTAAGAATTTAAAATGTGCAAGAGGTTGCTACTGCCACCTCGACCATAACAGACCTTAACTGATGGACTAGGCCTCTCTGTGACTCACTCTGTGGATGGTGGTGTGGCCACTGTTTAACCCCAGTTAACCAGGCCCTACCTGCACAGAACAAAGACTCTCAACACTCAATTTCAAATTGGCTCAATCATATACTTTATCACCCTCTGTCCCAAAGCACCTTTCAAGCACTCACGGGAAAAAAAAGGCAAAGCAAAAAGATGCACAAACTACTGTGTTTCCCTGAAAATAAGACATCCCCTGAAAATAAGACCTAGCACAACTTTGGGAGAAAAAATTAATATGAGACACTGTCTTATTTTCGGGGAAACAGGGTAGGAATCATCCAGCCATCTGACAGTGCCAAGTGTTGGCAAGGGTTTGGAGCAAGGCCATGCACGTGCACTACTGGGAATGCAAATTGGCTCAAACATTTTGTAAAATAGTTTGGCATTATCTAGTAGACTTGAAGATGCAGATCCCCATGACTCAGCTATTCCGCTTCCAAGTTTGAACCAACAAAGATTCTTCCACAAATACACAAGGAAACATATACAACAAGCATGTCAAACTCGTGGCCCGCAGGCTGCATGCAGCCCACAACAAATATTTTTGTGGCCCAGCCAATGTAATGGGATGTAAGAAACATTTTAATAAAAATTTTGTAACTTAATTTTTATAATATCAAATTATACATAATTATTAATAACGAACTACAACATCCACTAATGACTGCTATGATTGTGTTGCATTCATTTCCCTTACGCACCTTACTGTGCACCATTTCTCTCCACTAAAAGTAGCAGCCAATATTTTAGCAGCCGATTGCCATGTCATTAGTCTTATACTGACTTGTTTGGTATGCACAAAAGGAAATATTTTGCTTTCAGAAAACCAAAAAAATAGGGTTGTTTTTTTTTGCGTTATGCTTATTAATTTCTGCAGTTATTCAGTGTCTGGTAAGTTAGTGTTCAAGGAAAAATATTACTTGTTATTAAAATGTTCAAATATGTACATATATATATGATATCTCTATTGATTTCAGAGAGGAAGGGAGAGAGAGAGAGATAGAAACATCAGTGATGAGAGAGTGCAGGAGGCAGCTGATTGATGTTTCTAACTCTCTATCCCTATCCCTTCATCTCTTTAAAAAAAAATCCTATCTAATAAAAGAGTAATATGCAAATTAACCATCACTCTGCTATACCCACAAGCCATGCCCACCAGCCAATCAGGAGTGAGTATGAAAATTAACCCAACCAAGATGGCTGTGGCCACAGAGTGAGCAGAAGGCTTGGGTTTCCCCAGCATTGGAGGAAGCCAAGCTTTCTGCACACCCTGGCTGGCCAAGGCCTCCACTCAAGGCTACAAAGTTTCAATTATAGAAGATAAATAAATCCCAGATACCAGGGCCTCCACTTGGGTTGCCAGGGGGGCATGGCTGGCCTGCAAACCACCACAGGCCCCTTGCCCAGGCCACCCCACACCCCAAGGGAACCCCCACCCTGATCCAGGACACCCTTCAGGACAAACCAGCTGGCCCCCACCATGCACCAGGCCTCTCTCCTATCTAATAAAAGAGTAATATGCAAATTGACCAACACTCCAACACACAAGATGGCTGCCACAAGATGGCAGGGTAGTTGGGAGGGACCAGGCCTGCAAGGAAGGGCAGTTGGGGGTGATCAAACCTGCAGGGGAGAGCATTTAGGGGTGATCAGGCCAACATAGAAGGGAAGTTGGGGGTGACCAGGCCTGCAGGGGAGGGCAGTTAGGGGCAAACAGGCTGGCAGGGGAGCAGTTGGGAGCCAGCAGTCCTGGATTGTGAGAGGAATGTCCAACTGCCAGTCATACATCCTTCCAGGGGTCCCAGATTGGAGAGGATGCAGGCTGGGCTGAGGGACACCTGCCCCCCCCCCCCGCCCCATGCAGGAATTTTGTGCACCAGGCCTCTAATAAAAATATATATTTTTTAAAAGAATGCTCATACCAGCACTGTTTACAATAGCAAAAACCTGGGGGGGGGGGGGGGGAGAAACTTTAATGACTAACAATAGGAGAATGATAAATTGTGGCATGCTTATAAAAAGGCATATTATAAAGCAGTGGAGATTAATGGAACTACATCTAATGATAGGATGAATTTTATTAATATGTCAGGTGATGCAAGTTACATAGGAATAGGCGCACTTCAATACCATTTATAGAAAATTCAAAATATGCAAAATGCTATATATTGCTTAGAGAGATATACATGTATAGCATAAGTATATAGAAATGTAAGGGGATAAATACTGGCAATTTATGATTAGTGGTTACTTGGATGATAGAGGGGAGAGATGTGCATTTGAGGAGGAGTACACTGGAGGTTTCAATGGATAATATTTCATTTCTTATGCTGGTGGTGGGGACATGTGTGCTTTAATAAAATTCTTCAGGCATGAAATAATTCTTCACATATAAAATATTTCATAATTTTTTTTTTTTATAAAAGGCAAGACTATAATTGGCATTAAGTTCTTCCACTTTTCTTGAGACCAGGAAAACAAGGCCCCAGCTCTTCTGAGTAACTGTTTTGGTAAGCTGGGAAAAGACTGTGATGTTACTTCTTAGCTAGTTTGCAACAACTAGGAGGTGAGCATGGACTTTCTTGCATGTAATCAATTTAGAGAGTAGGAACCTGATATGTGTCAAGGGTTTGCCCGATTCCGCTATGACATCAACTCTCCCTCCAGGAAACACTGTAGTGGATAAAAAGTTAAAATCTCCCCCATGCCCTTTCCCTCCAATCCCATTCCAAAGAGATAATTTCTATTGAAAGAATCCTTCCAGACATACACATCTGTGAAAAATTTTAAGCTAAAAATAGATGGAATTATGCTATATGCATTTGCCACACTTCATTTACTTATCAATGGCTCATTTCAGTACATCAGCTCATGATGATCTGCCTCTCTCTTCTGCAATAATTTATTACTTAAAACTTCTATTTTTAATTCAACAAGAGACATATGATCACTTTCTAGATGCAAAATTTTCCAACTATTGAGATAGAGGGATAAAAACCTTCACAAATTATTAGAGTGTAAAGCCTTCACAAGATTGCCACACCTAATAAACACACACACACACACACACACACACACACACACACATTCTTAGTCTCAAGCCCCTCCCTGGAGGTAAACCACTGCTATATTTACATATGTCCTTCCAGATTCACTTACCCCCACAAAGAAATAGGTTGTTTAGTTGTTGTGTGTATGGTTGACATATAAATAGTTCCAAACTGAACATAACGTCCTGCAACTTACTCTTGGAGATTTATGCACATATTATCTCATTCAGGCATCCATTAGCTGATATTTATTAAAATACTAGAGGCTGCTGAAACCGGTTTGGCTCAGTGGATAGAGCGTCGGTCTGCGGACTGAAAGGTCCCAGGTTCAATTCCAGTTAAGGGCATGTACATTGGTTGCGGGCACATCCCTGGTGGGAGGTGTGCAGGAGGTAGCTGGTCGATGTATCTCTCTCATCGATATTTCTGGCTCTTTATCCTTCTCCCTTCCTCTCTGTGAAAAATCAATAAAAATACTTAAAAAAATAAAATACTAGAGTCCTGATGCACAAAACTTGGGCACTGGTAGGCCTTCCTTCTCCTGACTGCCGGCACTGGCTTTCCTCCAGCGCCCGGACCGAGCTTCCCTCGCAGCCCCAGCTTCCTCTGGGAGGACGGAAGGATGTCAGGAAGGATGTCTGGTTAATGAACATATTACATTAATATGATTGTCACTTCAGTTTAAAAACTATTGCTTTAAATTACCAATCCTCTATTGAGAACTATATTGGTCATAATTATCTCCTGTTACAAATAAATGAGCTGCTCTATACTCATCTTGTGATTACGGGTATTTCTGAGTGCAGGATCCCCCGATTGTGTAATTACTATTTTCTTCAAATTCTTATGAAAGTGTAGCCAGCATGCAGGAAAACAATTCTTATTTCCTGATCTTTGACCGCCGTGAGGCATAAACTTTGGGCAAGTCCCTGAACCTCTCCGACCTCGGTCTCCCCAATAGTAGTACCCTGCTGGTCCCTACACCCTAGAGTCTGCTCTAAGTTGAAAACAGAGGCCCCACCCCCTGACTCAGCGAGGGCAGGACTTCTGGAAGCCTCTGCTCCCCCTTTTCCGCCTCTCCGGATCCTCAGACGCGGTTTGGGGAAAAGGGAAAAGGCAGGTCTGGGCAGGAGAACTCGGTGCAGGGCGGGGCCGGGGCGGGCGGGAGGAGGCCGGCCCCCTGGTAGGAAATGAGCCGGGGCTGGAATAACACTTTAAAGGCCTGACGCCCTCTTCCTCCTCGCATCCCCTGGTCACCTTCCAGCTCCTCCGTCCAGCTTCCTCTCCTCCCAGGCGGTCCTCGCTCGCCTCGGTGCTGTCAGTGGGAGCCCCCCAGCCTGCCAAAGCCAGGAGTGCAGGTGGGATCGAGGTCCCAGGATGTGGAGAACATTGCTGCCCCTGCTGCTGCTACTGACGCTGCCCCGCAGGGCCCTTTGTGTCCAGGAAACTTCCGACGGTGAGTGAGGGCCCCAGGTGGAGGGGGAAGGTCACATCCCAGCCTCGGAATGCTTCTGTCCGGTACGGGGGCTAGACCGGAGGAGAGCTTATTCACAGGGTCTGTGTGGTGGCCTGCCGGGTGGATCTCTCTGTAGGGCAGACAGGGCTCTGGGGACGGTGTGTGTGCCGAGGCCAGGTGAGAGAGGGGAAGACGGAGGAGGCTGGAGGTGGGGGCGGACAGCACTGGAAAGGTGGGAAAGGGGCTGATGGGAGCATCGAGGGAATTAGCCTCAGGGAGAGGGGATGGGGTGAAGTTCGGAGAAGAAGAGCTGAGGGTGATGGTGGATGGGGGTGAATCTAGGGAAGATGGGAGGGCACCCAGAGATGAGATGAGAGATGAAAGGAACTGGAGGATGTGGGAGCTGAAGGGATACTTGGGGAAAGATTGGGGCTGAGCTGTGTGAGGCAGAAAGGGAGCATAGAGAGGGCGGAGGAAAACGGGATAGTTGGTGAGGTGAAGCTGGGGAAGAAGAAGCGGTGGCCAGCGGGAGAACTCAGAGGAGATCAGAAGTGGGTAAGCACGGAGGGGAGTGATTGCCCTTCACTGCAATTGCACAGGGCCTCTTCCTTCTCCCAGTCTCTCTAGCTTCCGTGTCCGCTTCCGAGAGGGCGTGAGTAATAACCAGAGTTCAGTGAGTGTTCACTATGGTTAACGCATGTGTTGCCTCATTTAACCCCCACAAAACCTCTACACAGAGGAGGAGACAAGGCCACACAGCAGTTAAGAACCTTCTGAGGGCCGAAACCAGTTTGGCTCAGTGGATAAAGCGTCGGTCTGCGGACTGAAAGGTCCCAGATTCGATTCCGGTCAAGGGCATGTATGTACCTTGGTTGCGGGCACATCCCCAGTAGGGGGTGTGCAAGAGGCAGCTGGTCGATGATTCTCTCTCATCGATGTTTCTAGCTCTCTATCCCTCTCCCTTCCTCTCAGTAGAAAGTGAATAAAATATATATATATTTTTTTAAAGAACCTTCTGAGGTTATCCACGCAGATGTATTTATTTACACCTGCAGACACAGAGCGCTTCTCAAATGCAAACGTGGTCACAACACAGCCACACGCACGGATTTGCAACCCCAGACTCATTCCCTCCTCAGGCGTTTTCTAGGTCCCAAATCTGTGCCAGGCCCTTACTCGGTGTAAGGCGCATGTGTCAAACACAAGGCCCGCGGGCCAAATCCGTCCCGCCAGGCCTTGCAATGTGGCCCGCACCGTGCTGTCATCACTGCACTCCGCTGCGTTTCCATCACAATGACAGTTTATGACTGTTCAGTAAACCATTCGGCCCGCGATTTAGGCTGGATTTTAGATTTTGGCCCCTTCTCTGATTGAGTTCGACACCCCTAGTGTAGGAGTAGCGATAACCAGTGGCCTAGAGGAGCCCATTAGAGCCTGTGTGTTTGCACACAGTTATGTGGAATCTCCGATCACTGAAACAGGTCCACTGTCTGGAAGGATAAAGAGAAGAGGCTTCAGGAAAACGCCAAGGAGAGAGCCACCACATTGGGTCTTGAAGCATGAATAGAAGTTTGCCAGGAAGCAGAGCAACCCGGACATGCTATTTACATGTCAGTCAGAAGGCAGCATGAGGAGTTGGATATAGCCTCACACTGGGAAGAGACTGAAAAAGCAGCAGGGGCCTGGTCCCCTTACAATCCATGCTAAAGACTTCGGACTTGATTCTGTGGACGGATATCCTATAAGGAGTCAGTAGAGCTAGCTGACTAAGAATGCCAGACTCAGATTGCTTGCATTCAAATCGTGGCTCGATTATACCATTTTAGCCTGTTTCCTGCATGGACTGGGGTTAATAATAGTAGCTACGGTGTTAAGTTAAACGGAGGAAGGCACAAATAATACAGTATGTGTGTGTACAGTGCCCAGGTCATAAGCCCAATAGCTATTGTTGTTGTTGGTAGGGGAGTGTGTCACTGAAGGACTTTACATTTTTTAATTTTTTGTTAGTCCTCACCCATTGCTTTTTTTTAGAGAGTGGAAGGGAGAGAGGGGAGGGAGGGAGGGAGGAAGGGAGGGAGGGAGGGAGGGAGAGAGAGAGAGAGAGAGAGAGGGAGAGAGAGAGAGAGAGAGAGAGAGAGAGAAACATCGATGTGAGAGAGACACAGCAATTGAGTGCCTCCCGCATGCTTCCTGACCTTGGCCGGGTACTAAGCCTGCAACGAAGTACATGCCTAGGACAGGAATTGAACCTAGGACCCTCAGTCCATGCGATGATGCTCTACCCACTGAGCCAAACCGGCTAGGGTCTACTGAAGGATTTTTATTTATTTATTTATTTATTTATTTATTTATTTATTTTTATTACTGAAGGATTTTAAGCAGAAGGACATAATGTTATTTCCGGTTCAGGTGGAGATCGGATTAAAAGGGATGAAACTGAAAAATGAGGGGCAGGAGCTTGAGGAAAGAAGTTCCTCCCCCAGTCCCTATGGGAACCAGTGAGGCCGGAAGCAGGGCAGGGGCCGAGGGGACAGAATTGGGATTTCTGTTGGAGGTCAGGAATTGCTGACCCGCTGCAAACGAGGAGAAGGGGCGGGAGAGAAGGGAGATCAGAGTGGGTCTTCCACCGCCTGTCGGGCTTACCCCTCAGGCAAGTGGCCTCTCCTCTCTTCTGGCCTCAGTTTCCTCATCTGTAAAATGAAGATAACAATCCCTGCCCTACCCTCTTGGCAGGTTTCCTGTGAGCATTACATGGGAGGGAGGGTGGGAGGACACTTTGTAGTTTATGAAGAAGGGCCGAGAAGGTGGGCGGCGGCTTCTGGATGCGGGGTTATGAACTCGGGCTACTCTCAGGCCAGCCAGGGACCAACGCACTGGCTTCCACCCCCAGGCCCTCGGAGCCTCCACATGCTCCAGATCTCCTACTTCCCGGACCCGGGCCGAGTGAGGTACCAGGGCAACGCGTCGCTGGGCGGGCAGCTGACGCACGTGCTGGAAGGCTGGGACTCCAACGTCTCCGTTCTCCAGCTGCACCCCCTGCAGGAGCCCCAGCGCTGGGAGCGCACGGAGGAGAGCGTGCGGCTCTACCTGAGCAACTTCCACGACCTGGTGCGGCTAGTACACCAGGAGCGGGGCGTGGCCTGTGAGTGGGTCACGCTTGGAGGGCGTGGCCTGGGAGGCGGGGGGCCGGGGGAGAACCTGCAGGGCCCTCTGGAAGGGGTGGTTCCCAGAGGGGTCTTGCGGATGGGCTGGGCACACATGGGCCTGGGCCTGTGGGGGCGGGAGGCTCTCCGGAGCCCCGGGGTGGTGCCCAGGCACCGGCATTGACTGATTGCTGGGTATGAGCTTGAGGCTGGAGAGGAGGCTGTGTCCTAGCCTTCTGTCCGGCCTTCTTCCTGCTAGCATGGTCTTGAGGTAGACCCACCCTGAAACCCTAAAGTTCACTTCCCCCAGGGGAGCATGCCCTACACCTGGCGCCCTCTCCACACATCCCCTTGACCTTGAATCTCCCCCCTCTCCCCCTCCTCCACAGTTCCTCTGACCGTTCGCTGCTTCCTGGGCTGTGAGCTGCCTCCTGAGGGCTCTCCAGTCCACACCTTCTTTGAAGTGGCTCTGAATGGGAGCTCTTTCGTGAGTTTCCAACCAGAGGTTGCATGTTGGGAGGCAGGGCCCCAGGTCACCTCTGCAGTGGCCATCTACACCCTGCGTCAGCTCAACGCCTACAACCGGACTCGGTATGAACTGCAGGATTTCCTGCAGAACACCTGTGTGCAATACGTGGAAGAGCACCTCCCCACGAAATCCTCGAAAGGTACAGCGGGACCGGCGATGGGCCTGCATGTTGGGTAGGTTCCGGGCAAATGGAAGGGCCTGAAGGATGGACCTTGAGCAGCAGGACTGCCGGGGCTGGGGATCTGGGATAGAGTACACACAGCTTAAGTCACTTTGGGGCAGAAATCCCCTTGGGGCTGGATTCAAACCATAGACTCCTTGGGGAGTATGTTCTCTGGGCTAACTTTCTGCATGTTCTCCAGAGAGCCAAGCACGCCGCTCCTACACGTCGCTGGTCCTGGGCATCCTGCTGGGCACTTTCATCATCTGTGGTGTGGCTGTCGGCCTCTTCCTGTGCACGGGCGGACGGCTGTGTTAACTACCCTCCGGTCCCCTCTGGAGAAGGGCTGGACCGATGGGGGCTGACAAAGGAAAATCTCAGCTCCCTGAAAAGCCAAACATAGTCCCCACTTGGGACGTCATATCCCACATTCGGAGTATCAGCTTTCTTCTTCCAGATCTGCCCACTAAGAGTTTGGGCGAGTGAAGGAGAGAAGGCTAGATAGATGGAGTACTTGGTTTACTAGGAAACTAAGTACTTGCATGCTTCATTGCATTGATTTGAGAAGTAGTGAATGCTTGTCTGTCTTTGTGAAAAACAGATGATGGAGTTGTGGTAGTGGTGGTGGGGTCTATGGCCCATCCTCCAAAGACAGACAGAATCACATAACCTGTCATCACAAAACCAAAATAAATAACGTTCAATGCCTGCAGATGTGTCAGACATAGGAAGAGACAACGCTATGAAGGAGGTAGAAAGAAATAACTAGAGATATGGTAGGAGTGTAAAATCCAAGTAATATGGGAACAAGGAGTTATTAAATAATTGGTCAATAATATTAATAAATTCCTTATTTATGTATAGGACATTATTATTTCCTCTACTTTGAAAATTTTCTAGAAAAGTAGCCTATACAGTTTGCTTCTACTTTCTTATTTCCTGCCAGAGGTAAAATGCACGAAATTCATGCAAGAGTAAGCCAGTCCCAGCTGCCTCAGTGCTCATAGCCCCGGCTTCGTCCAGAAGGTGGTCCAGACAGTCATCCAGACAGTCATTCCATTGTTCGGCATTTGGTCAATTTGCATATTACACTTTTATTATTATAGATGCACTCTTCAACCACTGCAGGAAATAATAACATCTCAATAAACTACTCCAAACTAATTGTGGAAACTTCAGCTCCATGATGTCTGCACATTTCACTTTGTGGACTAGAGCTATTTTTACCCCAACTTCTGAAATACCATACTTCTAATTTTTAAAAAAATGTTCAATCCCTTTGTCTACACCATCTTACTCCATTTATCTTGGAAATCATAGCTTCCTTAGAATTCCATTTTTGGGCTCCTTTTATTTCCCTTTAATCTGTATCTTTCTGGGCGACCTACTAACTTAACTTGCATGGCTTCAAATACCATCTGTCTGTGGTGATTTCTATGGGGAAGCAATATAATCTTGTTTTTGAGAGCATGTATTTTGTCATCAGACAGACTTGAGTTTTACTTCTTTCACCAGGCATTTTAACTTCTTCAAGTCTCAATTTCTTCATAAACAAACGGTATAATAAAATACACAAAAATGGTATATTAAAGATATGTACTTCACAAAGGTATTATACATATTAAATAAGAATATATATGATGTATGTATACAGGGTGGGGCAAAAGTAAGTTTACATTTATGAGTATGTAAAACAGAGTTTATTCTTGTATTATTATTTATTAATTATTGTATTATTTTTCATATGAACAAGTGTAAACCTAATTTTGCTCCACCCTGTATAGCACTTGCTGTTGACCTCCCCCATATGCATTCATTTTTGAAAATCCTCTCTATCATAGTATTTTGTAGACATTTTAGAGTCAGCATATTCAAAATAAACATGTCTTTCTCCCCAAACCTGTTCTTTTTCTCCCGTGGTTTTACTGTCAGTTAAACAGAATTACCACCAAATCATATCAATGTAAAGACTCCGTGTTAACTTGTGTTTACTCCCTCTTCATCCCCCACCTACAAAATACAATGTCTGTAGAATCCATTCCCTCCTTTCTACTCGATTGCTTTTGTTCCAGTTATTATACTTCATCTCTTTCTTTGTGGTAGGCATAGAGGTGTGCCACCCAGTTCTACCTTCAAGGAACTTGCTGTTCCATTACAGGGAGTATAGCCAGCAGGTAGCTTCTTGCTGCTTCAGTTCCTTCAGGGTATGCCTCACCTACAGAGAACAGTCCTACACAAGGGCCGTCCTCATTTGTTGGCTGAGCAAAGCAGGGATGTAAAGGTGTAGCCATTATGGCCCATGGCAGGACAATTCTGAGGAGCCATAGTCACTGCAGAGCTCCTAATCAAGTTGACTGGATCTATATCCGATCTATTCAATCCTGCTTCCTCCCCTAGTTAATATCCTGCACCTCAAACTCTCTGTCAGCATCTGCCTCCAAAAAAGCCAACCTGTGATTGACAACCTCACTGTCTCCAAATTGAGAAATATTCTCACTATTTTGTCTGGACCATGGCAATAGCCTCTTCCTAATTGTTCTCCTGGTCTCTAATTTCTCTGAGTTCTGTTTCACCATCTATATAACAATTAAATAAAAATAATTTGATCATGTCATTGTTCTGTGTGTGTTTGTTTGTTTGTTTGTTTATATTGATATCAGAGAGAGAGAAACATCAGTGATGAGAGAGAATCATTGTGGCTGCCTCCTGCACATCCCCTATTGGGGATCAAGCCCGCAACCTAGGCATATTCCCTGACCAGGAATTGAACCGTGACCTCCTGGTTCATAGGTCAATGCTCAACCACTGAGCCATGCCAGCTGGGCTCATTATTCTGTTTTATAAAGTTCCCACATTTATTGAGCTAAATTCAGAATCTTCAAAATGACATTTAAGGATTTGTGCAATCTGGTTTCATCCTAATTTTCAAATTTTATTTCTTAGTACTTCTTTTTGCCCAACTGTGCTTTGGGTTATTGATTTATTTTAAATATATTTTTATTGATTTCAGGGAGGGAGAGAGATAGAAACATCATCAATGAGAGAGAATCATGGATTGGCCACCTCCTGCATGCCTGCTAGAGGAGATCAAGCCTGCGACCCAGGCATGTGCCCTTGATGGGAATTGAACCTGGGACCCTTTGGTCTGCAGGCCGATGCGCTATCCACTGAGCCAAACCTGCCAGGGCTGGGCTATTGATTTTAAAAGCATATGTAATGACAGAAGTAATACCACAACAGTAGCAATACAGAAGTTCACAAAGAAAAAAGTGAAAGACCTGTACTTTCGCCATCTCTCTAAACCCTTACCTTAAAGTTATACTAAGATTGTAGTTGCAAGCAAGAGAAACCAACTCTGTCAACTAATGGGGAAATAAATATTTGAAAGGTTATTAAGTAATCCTCAGAATTGATGGGAAGGCCAGCTAATCAAACTCAGAAAATAAAACCAGGGATCACAGCCAAAGTCACAGCACAGGAATGGTCTAAGAAGGATACCACAGCTGTTCATTCGTCTTTACACTCTTAGTTTAAGACTCAAAGTCCTGGTGGGAGCATTCAAATGGCCAAGCCATTTGCCTTTGCTGCAAGGAGAATGGGAGGGAAAGTTCAGGTATCTGGCTTTTCTTGTGGATTGTGGAACCCTGTCGCCCATTAAGATTCACACAAAAGCCAAAACCGGTTTGGCTCAGTTGATAGAGCGTAGGCCTGCGGACTGAAAGGTCCCGGGTTCGATTCCGGTCAACGGCATGTACCTTGGGTGAGGGCACATCCCCAGTAGGGGGTGTGCAACAGGCAGCTGATTGATGATTCTCTCTTCGTTGATGTTTCTAACTCTCTATCCCTCTCTCTTCCTCTCTGTAAAAAATCAATTAAAAATATATATATATATATAGATTCACACAAAGGAAGAGGTTTCAAATCTTAGGAAGACAAAAAACAAAAACAAATTCTGATGCCATCAGAATGCTCTTTTGCTGTTCATAAGATTAAATCCAAACTCCTCAGTATGTAACTAAGACCTTCCAAAATCCAGCACCAACCTATATTTTCTCTAGCTTCATCTTCAACCCCTCTTAGTCCATTCAGGCTGCTATAACAAAAATGTCATAGAGTGGGTAGCTTAAACAACAAACATTTAGTTCTTCATTCTAGAGACTGGGAAGTTCAAGATCCAGGTACTGGTATATTTGGGACTTGGCGAGGGCCTGCTTTTTGATGCATAGGTGTCCATTTTCTACGTCCTCGCCTGTGGAAGCAGGGTGAGAACTCTCTGGAGATTCTTTTGTGAGGATACTAATCCCATTCATCAGTGCGCTACCTTCATGACCTAATCACCTTCCAAAGTCCCCAACTTCAAACACCATCATAATGGGGATTAGATTCTAACATACCAATTTGAGGGGAGGCAATACACTCAGTCTAGAGAGTATTCTCCTCCTCTCTCAATCTAGCCCCTCCAAATCACTCTTGTTTTCTCAAATACACTCTGTCCGTTCTGGAGTTAGGTTAGGGAAGGTAAATGCTTTGTGCTTTCTCAGTCCACAATCTGCTTGATATTTCTCTGAGGCCACGGGAGGCAGAATTATAAAATGTTAGTTACCCCTGAACACTCTAGTACTGAAAGGGAAACTGAGGCTGGGAAAGACTAAGTGGCTTGCTCCAGGTCCCATAGTTCGCTGGTACAAGAAGTGGAACTGGGACTTGTAGCTTCTGACTTTTGACCCTGAGCTTCACCGTGCTGTGAGAGGGGGAAGAAGTCATGAAGGTGGAGGTAATGAGATCACTTGAGTGATCCTCTGAAAGTTTATGTCCACATCCAAAGGCAGGAGCGGTAAAGAGGCAGGAAAACAGTGGGATGAGTAACTGACTTATAGGGATAAAGAGTGAACCTAATTTCCAGGTGGTTCTAACACGGTAGAGAGTAAATAGAAGGTTCATCTGACTATGCTTACACATGTGAATATTTGCTCATAGCTGTGTGATCTTGGATAAGTCTGGAAAAAAGTTCATAATTTCTATGATAGCTCTGATAGCTACCGTGTTTCCCCAAAAATAAGACATCCTTCGAAAATAAGACCTAGTGCATCTTTGGGAGCAAAAATTAATATAAGACACTGTCTTATTTTCGGGGAAACAGGGTAGGGAAACCACCTCAGAACGTTTGGGTTAGGCTTGCCAGACTACTGGAAGTCCAGCTGGAGTTTACAGAAGAAGTAAACAGACCTAGAATAAATTTAAACACATGATTCCCGGCATCTTCTAAAAGCCTCCTGGGTGGCGTGGCTTACTGTGTTCCTCTTCCTTATAATTCATTTCAACATTTATGTCTTAATTTCATGCCTCCTGCCAGATGGCTGCAGGTTTAGGTTACTGTATCCCGTTCTTCTTCCAACTCAGCCACCTGTTGCTAGGTCCTGTTTGATACACACAGCATTATGCCAACTGCCCTCAGGAATGCAGAAATGGGTAAAACACGATTCCTGCCCAGGAGTCTGTAGCATAGAGGAAGAGGCACACAAAACAGTTCATTTAACACAGAAGGAATGGGAAGGGTACAAAGTAATGACAAGTGACGTACTGAGAGAAATGGATCAAACAAGGAGAGCTGCACGGAAGCCACATATTTCCTGTGGGCCTTGAAGAAAGAGAAGAATGTCAGGACGTGAAGAGGGGAAATCTGTTTCTCCTCTCGTGGGTAAAGTCTTCAAGGGAAGAAATTATATCTTATTTTTTCAACACATTCCCGACACTCAGAATAATACCTTACAAAAGGAAAGAGCCAATACATGTTTGTTCCATGAATGAAAAATGAATGAATTCTGGACTAATCTCACTGCACAAAGGCAAAGAGGGTGAAAGGGCACCTTGCATTTAGGGAATAATAAATGGTGTGATGTGGCTGCTCTGGATACAGCTTATGGAAGGAAATGTTGTGGGAGATAGAATGGGACATTTGGATACTAGATGGCCCTGGTCAGTTGGCTAGAGCATTGTCCCAGTATACCAAGGTAGTGGGTTCAATCTCTGGTCAGGGCATATGCAAGAATCAACGAATGAGTGCATAAATAAGTAGAACAACAAAAATCAACCTCTCTCTCTCTCTCTCTCTCTCAATAAAAAAATTAATCAAAAAGAATGTCATTAACTTATAGTTAATTCCATAGGAAGTAGCTAACTCTTTTCTCCTCTAAGGAAATTATATCCTTGTTCATCTTTGTACCCTTAATATCTAGAACAGTGCCAGGATTTAGAAGATAGATAACAAATAGCTGAATGAATGAATGAATGAATGAATGGAAGATTTTTGAGAAATAAAGTTATTTTATCCTTTCTTACTTTAATAATAATACCTACATTGCAAGGCAGGGGTTGGGAACCTTTTTTCCCCACCAATAGCTATTTGGGTATTTATAACATCATTGGTGAGCCATACAAAATTATCAACTTAAAAATTAGCCTGCTATATTTAGTCAAACATTTAATTAACTCGCCCCTAATGCCTTAGCAGAGCCAGATCAAATGATTTTGTGGCCTTATACGGCCAGACATTCCCCACCCTATGTAAGGTATAAAAATGTCAAATCAGAAGAGAACCAGGATGGTGTCATAGGTAAACTCCTATACTTGCTGCCTCTCACAACCACGTAAAACTACAACTAAAAGACAAAACAGCTGTCATCCAGAACCACAGAAAAACTGGCTGAGTGGAAGTTCTACAACTAGGAGGAAAGAGAAAAGCACATTGAGACTGGTGGGAGGTGTGGAGATGTGGAGGTACTGAGGCACTCGCAAAACAAGCTGGCAACTGGGTGTGCTGTTGTTTTTTTCAATCGGGAGGGAGATACAAGCTCCTGATTGCTCTGAATTCCAGTTCCAGGTGAGACTCTGGGGACCCAGACTCATATAGGGGAAACTGGACTGTCTGGCACTGGGCTGGAATGACGGCTTTCTCTCAGAGGTGCTCACAGTGATCACTGTTCCTGCATGGGGTCACGGGCACGGAGACAGCTGACTGGTCATTGCTGTTTGCTCCACTCTGGTGATTCCCTGAGACCCTGCCCCACCCAATTTACAACCCAACCCAAGCTGTGCACAGCAGCTTTTGCATATGAATGTCCTGTCCTTTCGCAGCCTAACCTAACAAACTGCAGCTGGGTCAGAGAGCTCAAAAGCTTCCAGAAGAAAGCCCAAGGCTCTTGGCAGCAGTAGCCTGCCTTGCTTCACATCTGGTTCTCATCTGGGCTCTTCCAAACCCCAAACAAAGAGGAAGAATCTGTAGATCTTGCTGTAGCTCTTGCTGGGTGGCCTCGGGTAGTGGCTGACTTTGAACCTCCTTGGAGATACAAGAGCCAGTGTATCCAGTGGTCAGAGTGGGATCATCCAGATTATAACTCTTCACATCCATAAGAGACACACTCAGGGGGCAGACTCAGTGAGCACCAAGCTCCACTGAAGCAAATCCTGCCCCATAAAGGCGTCTCTAGCCCAGGAGTTCTCCCATTGTAGACACAGTTGGTCCTCACAGCCAATTGGCCTGGAGTTTAATTTCTCCCAGTGATACCAACAGCAATCAAGGCTTAACTACAACAAGATTGTACACACAGCCC